AGAGAGAGAACACAAGCAGGGGAGGGGCAGAGTGAGAAAGAGACACAGAATCTTAAGGAGGCTCTAGGTTCTGAGCTTCCAGCATAGATCCTGATGTGGGGCTTAAACCCACGAACTGTAAGATCATGACCTGAGCTGAAGCTGGAGGCTTAACTGACTGAGCCACTCAGGTGCCCCATATCTTTATTTCTTATAGAAAATAAAATTTATAGTTTTTCTTTTTTAAATGTTTGTTTATTTTTGAGAGAGAGTGCCTGTGAGCGGGGAAGGGGGCAGAGAGAGAAGGAACTGAGGATCAGAAGTAGGCTTTGTGCTGACAGCAGAGAGCCCAATATGGTGCTGGAACCCACAAACCGTGAGATCATGACCTGAGCCAAAGTCGGATGCTTAACCAACTGAGCCACCAACGTGCCCCATAAAATTTATAGTTTTGATAAAATTTGAAAGATCCTAAAATTCCTATTTTTTCTACTGTCTATCCTTATTCTATTAAAATTTTGTTAATAATAGAAACTGCTTGTTGAGTGTTTATTTTGTGTTAGGCTTGGTAAACAGTCTCTTTATTTACATTATTTAAGCCTCAGAGTAGCTTTAAGGCCTAGGAATTAGTGTTTTCACTTTACGGATGAGGAAACTGAGGCTAAGAGAGGTTATATAACTCAGCCAATGACACCCAACTAGAAAGTAGCAGACTGGGAGGGTAACTAGGTGTGTCACATTCCAAAGCTTGTGCTTTTTTTTTTTTTTTTTTTTTTAATATTTTTATTTATTTCTAGGAGAGAGAGAGACAGCGTGAGCAGGGGAGGGTCAGAGAGAGAGGGAGACACAGACTCCGAAATAGGCTCCAGGCTCTGAGCTGGCAGTCAGCACAGAGCCCGACGCGGGGCTCGAACCCACGAACCGCAAGATCATAACCTAAGCGAAAGTCTGACGCTCAACCGACTAAGCCACCCAGGTGCCCCCCAAAGCTTGTGCTTTTAAGCACCATTCTCTGCAAGAAAGACTTGAGTAAGTCTTTCTCATTATTCTCAACTATACTGCTTACCTTTGTGCTAAAAATAAGGATATAACTATCAGGGCCCAAATAAACCCACACATAACTTTTCAATAGCTTGAAATGAAGTATAAACTGTGAACTTAAAAAATCTTGTTATTGTAATGATTTTTTGAAAAGATATTTGTTTTTCAGATATTTCTGTGAGTTCTCCCCACCTTATGTCAGTATTTTGAGGCTAGACACAGTCTGTTACCTAATATTTAGGTTATCACAAAAGATGTCACTTTTTTTTTAGTATATGAAGAGATGAGTAGGTGTCGATTAATAATTCCACTTAATTTTTAAAAAATTGCAGCAAAATACACATAACATAAAATTTACTATCTTAACCATTTTAAATGTACCTGTAAGCAATATTAATTACATTCACATTATTGTACAGCCATCACTGCCATCCATATCCAGATGTTTTTTCTTTTTCCTTTTTCTTTTTTTTTTTTTTATCTTGCAGAACTTACTCTGTACCCTATTCCCTACTCTCCCCAGCTCCTGATAAGGATCATTTTACTTTCTGTCTCTATAAATTTGACAGCTCTAGGTACCTCATATTAGTGGAATCATGCAGTATTTGTTTTTTCGTGACTGGCTTATTTCACTTAGTTTGATTTCCTCAATTCGCAATTGCAATATGTCAGAATGTGATTCCTTTTTAAAGCTGAATAGCATTCCATTATATGTATATCCCACGTTTTCTTTATCCATTCATATTGATGGACACTTGGATTATTTATAGCTATTATGAATAATGTGCTATGAATATGGGTACACAAATACATATTTGAGAACCCATTTAAAAGTTTTATAATGTTTTATTTTTGAAAGAGAGAGAGAGAGAGAGACATAGTGTGAGCGAGGGAGGTGCAGAGAGAGGAGACACAGAATCTAAAGCAGGCTCCATGCTCTGAGCTGTCAGCACAGAGCCCTATGCAGGGATTGTACTTGTGAACTGTGAGATCATGACCTGAGCCGAAGTTGGACACTTAACCAACTGAGCCACCTAGGTTTCCCTTTTGGTTTTTAGTTCTTTTGGTTATATTCTCAGAAGCAGAGTTGCTGGATCATCTAATTCTCTTTTTAATGTTTTAAGGCACCAATTCCACTTAATTAAATAAGAGTAAGGAAGCAATGTTACATTGCCTCAGGTCTCTGATTTGGTACATCCCTTAGAGTCAGGGACATTAAGGTAAGGTGATCCAGGCCTTCTGTTTGGTATTAGGTCGTGGGTTACAAGGAGTGGGGGTTGGGGAGAGTTTAAAGCCCAAACTCTGGGATCCAGAGCTACGTAAGTTCTTCAGCCTAGCCCACCCAGCCTCCCTAGCTCCCATAGTCTAAAGGATGCCTATTGATAGAATAGTCTGAGCATAATTATAGAAAGACTGCAGTGCTGGTAAAAATGGGTATTGATTTTTCCAGGCATTGTAGTGAGTCCATATTGTTACTATTTTGAGAGCCATTACAGTATAGTGATTGAGAACAGGAGATTCTGGAGCTATAGCTCCTGGGTTTGATATCAGCTCAGCCTTTACTCAGCTCTCTGTGCCACGATTTCCTTATTTGAAAATAGATATTATAATAGTACCTACCTCATAGGATTATTGGGGGGATTAAATGAATTAATATATGTGACTGTTTAGAAAAGTGCCTGATATATAGTTCTCACTAAATGTTAGGTACTACTAATATTATTTTTAATTAGTATAAATTACCATGTAGCTTTCCTTAAAACCCATGAATAGCATGATATTCTTTGAACTAAACTCTTTGGATTTCATGCACTATAAATCAAAAAAGATATGTAACAGCAGTTTACAGAGACAGGATTTGCTCCAAGGTCAACAGGATTAGGTTGTAGCTTGATAAAACATTAACATCTATAGAGAATTGATACTAGTCATAACACGAGTTGGCTATAGAGGTTTTTGTGGTCTCTTATAATCTTGGCCCACTTAAACACTGTCCAGGGGTCAGGTGGTCTTGTGCAGATCCCCCCATTTCAGAGATGGGCTCCCTGGTAAGCAGAGTCTGATAGCATTAACCATTTGGTTTGAATAATGAAATCCTCTAATCCACAAAGCAACCTTCTAATTATAATTTGGCTTCCCAGGTAGCTTCTCTGATTGGAGAGGCTGTATAGGCTAGACAACCTGAGCTATCTGGTTGCATATCCAGTTGTAAGTCTCACTGGAAATCAGTACATTAACTTTCTGTTTTTACATGACAATCTTGGGAGCTTTATTAATCCAGGTCTGCCCTGGTTAATAGATCCATTCCTTCTGTATTGACTGTGTAGGTAGTTGAGCTTACAAAACTGAGAGCCAAATCCTGCATCATGATAGATTCATAAAGGTTATGTTCCCTTCATCAGTTTCTTGGGGTATACTCCCTGCCTCTTATAGGTTGTCACGTCACTAGCTGATTTAATTTGTTGGCTTGTATTTTTATTTTTAATTAAAAAATTTTTTTAGTATTTATTTTTGAGAGAGAGCACAAGTAGGGGAGATACAGAGAGAATGAGAGAGAGAGAGAGAGAGAGAGAGAGAGTCCGAAGCAGGCTCTAGGCTCTGAGCTGTCGGCACAGAGCCTGACATGGGGCTCAAACTCATGAGCTGTGAGATCATTATTGACCTGAGCCAAAGTCGGACACTTAACCACCTGAGCCAACCAGGTGCCCCTGGCTTGCATTTTATTGGAATTTCCATATGTGTGGCAGCAGTGGTAATTCTTCTCTATCCTTATTGCCAGCTTGCTGAAGAGAGGCAGAACATTCCAACTTCTACTCTTTCCTAAATCCCTGGGCTAGCCTGGCAAGAGCCCACTGTGTGGTGAGCAAGAGTGTGATCACTGCGCTGAGGAACCTTGCTCCATGGGACTATTGCTTTAGCACAAGTCATTTTGGAGCAGATAGAGCTGAAAGGAACCTTAAATGTGAGCTAGTCTGTATCTCTTGTTTTATCAGTGGGGAAATAGAGATTATTTGCCTAAGGCCATATATCTTTATGCTCTCTTAACAGTCCCTTGTCTAAGGCTTGACTGTATTGGCCAAGACTTGTGACCCCTCAGTAACATTCTTCCTAGCACCAGACTTCTCTAACTAGGACAGAAATTTAACTGCCCAAAGGCCCTTTTATTTCCTATGGTTCAGGCAACATCTCTCCCTTTGTTATATACCATGGAAGTCCAGGTTTGCATCTGAAATACAAATTCATCACAGATTTCAGGCTGTTTTGAAGTGAGTCCTTTGCAGCCTGATTGATGATGTGTCTTTTTGACCTCTTTGTAGATAGATTTTATGGCAACTACTTGGATCTACTTTATGTATGTATGTATGTATGTGTGTGTGTATTTAAGAAGCCTGTAAGGTGGGCAGGTCTTCCCAACTGCTATGAGGCATCATCAGCCAGCCTGGCTTCAGAGCTGGTACCCATACCCCTCAGCTGCCCATATGGATAGAAATGCTGAATTTGTCACGTTGGGTCTTCTTTTTCTTTTTTTTTAGCTCAACATCCCCAATTGTGGACATAATGATTTCATGATCTAATAATAAACTTCAACAGTACCTTTTAAAATAATAATTACTGTATACCCACAATGTAATTATATTCCAATTACTCTATACAAATTTTCATGTTAACATTAGAATGTTCTTTAAGAAATGTTAGTCATATTTATTTTAATCACGATAGAAATTTCTATTCTAAATATTTTTCTTTCTTTGCTTCCTTCTCCTCCTCCTTCTACGTGGAATAGTATGTCCTTTAAGCTTTTTCTAATGGCAGAATTATCTTATTAGCTTAGCATTACTTTTTACATACATTGAGAAAAAATTGAGCAACAACTTACAAGTAGATATACATTTTTCTCGTAATGCATCTTTACATATTTCTAAGAGGAAAGTGAGGCACAAATGTGAATTAATTAAATACAAAGTACTTTAATGTACATGCTCAGATGGTTAGTCAAGGAGCATTTTCTAGAAGTGTGTTTTAAACAAGATTTAAGAGAAGCTATAGATATACACCGGTGAAAAAGAAAGGTTCAGATAAAAGGGAAGTAAAACAAATTATGCACTGGGGAGCTATATCAGAAGAAGGGAGAATGGATGCTAATAAAAAAGAAAGATGTCCATCGCAGGATGGTTAAGCAAGCTCTTGGCTGGAACGGATAAGGAATGTTGGGAAGCAGTGACTGGTAACATTACTGAGATGTAGATTCACAATCTTGCTACCCACATTTTGCCTGAATACTTGGCTAGATTCTAAGGGAAAATCAAAGAGGGGAGATAGTGCTTGACCTGTTAGAACTTACATTCTTGCTGATGAGACAAGGCAACTGAAGGTAGAGAAGGGATGGCCTGTAAGGGCAGCTTGGGTTTTATATGGTGTGTGATGGAAGGAGCCTTTGTAGAGTCTCATGTATCATCCTGTCTCTGTCATCTGCTCAGGAGGGAGAGGTCTGAGCTGGGAAATATCACACTGAGCAGGTGACGACGTTTCCAAAATCAATTCTTGTCACTATATATAATTAATTAGCAAAAGAGCTTTTTTTTCCCCCCCACAAAACTCTTTTGAACCATTTCAGAAAAAAAGATGGGCTGCCTAGAGTCTTCCATCCATGATTAACAGTTAATGGAAAACCACTGGTTTGCTTATGCAGACAGCACTTGATGTCAGTAACTTCAAGCTGTTTTCCAATTTTACAGTAAAGTTTTATACTGAAACCAATTTAGGAAGCTATTTAGTCCGCTGTTTTTTTTGTTTTTTGTTTTTTTGTTTTTGTTTTTGTTATTTTTTGTGGAAAGATGATGTGGGTAGAGTAGAATAATGACATTTCCTTTTCCACACCAAAATATTACCAAGGTACTAATGGCTCCATTTTGTTACTGTCACTTTCAAAATAGATCAGTTCAATTATGGAAACATTTTGGATTATGTTAAAAGTAGTGTAGCTTCATAATAGTTGAGCTGGTAAATTAGGTTTTGCTTTTAGAGTATCAGTTTATCTCCATCTTGGATCAGACCTAAGAGAGAAAGTTTACAGATTTTTGTTTGCTATCTAGTAAGTCTGGTCGTTGTTTGGTCTCATGTTGTAGAAATACAGATTTTATTTTTTTCCTTTCTTCTTCTTCTTCTTTTCATCTGCCTCTTTGGTACTTGCTAACTGCTCCATGATTTCCCCTCTCTCCACTGGCATTCCACTGGGGGGTCTTCCGAGGTCCTTGGTTTCCTGGAATAACATTTGAGGCATATTTAAGTGCCTTACAATATTCCTGGGTTTATGTGGGTTTTGACTTACATGGATTGGTGGTAGGTCTCTGAAAGGCACCAGCACAAAAACTACCGGAACCCTGAGGTCTGGGCTCATATTGGGTTGTGGTTGTCCATTAGCCACTTGAAAAGACTGTCCAGGAAAGGCATTGTTTAAGGGGTAGCTGTCTAAAGCTGCCTGAGCTTTCATGAGCTGATTCTCTTTTGTCTGGGGAAGAACATCAGTGAAATACGGTCTCACTCCTGTTATGGCATTGATTTCATATGCGTTGTGCCTGTCTGCCAGTGCTCTCCCAGTTAAAATGGGCTGGAAAACAGCTGATCCTGAGACACCACTGACAAAGTTGTTGAGGAGAGAATGCCAAATTCCACCACTTATTGGGCTCAGAATTACCTGTGGCCATAAACTGGCCAGGCTTCGGAGAGCTTCGCGGTTCCACGCCGAGGCACGAAATTCAGGCTCAGTGTGATAGAGCTGAGAAAAGTAGATGCTAAGAGTAACATCTGGATACATAACTAAGAAATTGTACATTTTGCTGACGCAGCAGTGGTCGGCTTCATTACAAGGGGAGTTGCTGGAGTACAAAATGATATGCCTGATGGCGTTATTACTGCGTATGGCTGAGTCCAGATAACCATTCATCTCAAATAGCATTGATTCTGGATGGGTGTTATTCCCAGTGCAACTGCTAGCATGACCCTTTTGCACCAGGCTTCCAGAAGAAGTTTTTAGTTCATAAAATGTGAGCTGCTTTGTTTGAGAATATGCTGGCCCATAAGGGAATCCAAAAATCTGATAAAATTCTGTATAGGGGACCCTTGCTTCTTCACCTGTCCGAATATGGTAAGGGCAGTTAGAGCAATCTAGAGAGAAGCTTAGCCAGTAATAGGGTTTTACTATTGTTCCATGATTTGCTAGGTATTCTTCATATAAGGGCTCCATTGCTAGTTTTATTGTCTTCTAGCTGCAACCCTAAACAAGGAAGAGAAATTATATATAAAACCAGTGCAGGAAAAATGAAAGAAATTCATTAACTTATTGAACTTATTTTTCTATAAAGGAGGTATAGTACAGTAGCTATAGCATCATTGATTCTAGAACGTAATGATACATATCCATAGATTAGAAAGCTCAGGATTCATCATCTCTCTTCATTGAGACTCTTAAGGAGTGGGGAGGAGGGAAAAAAGAAAGGCATAATTACACCGTTACCTGTTTCATAGATCTGAGGCAGTAGAGCAAATGGGTTAACAGTGCAAGTTCTAGAAACAGACTGCCTTGTTTCAAACCTGGGCTCAGTTGCTTACCAGCCTAGTGACTTTCTGCAAGTTGTTTAAAGTCTGGGAGTCATAGCTTCCTTGTCTGTAAAATGAGGATAAGAATAGTGTCTACCTCCTAAGATTTTTCTCAAGGACTAAATGATGTAATCAATATAAAATGCTTTATTATGTGCCTGGCACGTATGAAGGACTCAATAAACATGAGCTCTTAGTAGTGATAGTACAAATCCCAGGATTATCTAGATGATTCTTATTTATGAAAGCCTAAAGAAACAAGCATGGGTTTTGCAATTTGTTCATAATGTTCTTCCTTTGTCTCTTTTCTGAATGACATTATCTAATTATCTGCATGAGTTTTGAGTGTGCCTGCATTTAAAATCAGCTATTTCTTCAGATCATTGGCAGTAAATTGGAGGTAATTATCCTTCTGGGAATGGGATCATGGGGTCTATTTTGCTCAATGGTAGAGACTTCTTGTAGGAATGCCACTTGATTATTATTTGGGTCGTGGACGCTTATTGCTGTTTGAGAATTGTATTTCCAGTGGGTGGGTATTATTGGAACATTTTGGAAACTTTACCACACTGGAAAGCACATATGGTCCTTTAGGATATTTCAAATAAGTAGTTTCTGGGATGTTAAACCACAAAACTTGAGATCTTTTAAGTTTTGTTTTGTTTTTCCTTTAAATAAAAATTTCAGTTATCATTATTCCCGAAGAGCAACATAGGGCATTATAATATAGTTTTAAGAACATTATTTTTTTAAACGTTTATTTATTTTTGAGAGAAAGAGACAGAGTGCAAGAGAGGGAGGGGCAGAGAGAGAAGGAGACACAGAGTCTGAAGCAGGCTCCAGGCTCTGAGCTGTCAGCACAGAGCCTGATGTGGGGCTCAAACTCATGAACCGTGAGACCATGACCTGAGCTGAAGTTGGACACTTAATCAACTGAGCCACCCAGGCGCCCCTAGTTTTAAGAACATTAAAGAAAAAACCTTTTTATTATACGAGTATTAGATATGTTTTGTAGAATATTTTTTAAAATACTGATACTTGAAGGGAAAAATAAAAACTCATGCCAGTGTGTCTCAGTTTACATTCTCCAAACTGTTAACATGTCTCTTCCCTCTAGTCTTTTTGCTACATGTGTTCATTATGCACAACATAAATAAAATGTTTTACACTTTGCTTTTTCACTTAGTATTATGTCATTAGCATTTCCTTGTGTTATTAAAAATTCTTCAAAAAACAATATTCATGGCTAATTAGTATTTTATTACACAACTAATATGTAATCAAATATTCAGGGGTTTGCCTCTTATTATAAATAATGCTTTGATGAACATTTCTGTATATAAATTGTATTCTTCTTTTCTCTAATGTAGATTACTAAAAGTTGTATTGGCTCAAGCTTTGTCAGATTGATTCTTGGGAAGGTGTTCCAATTTTATCTCATTCTCTCCCAGAGATGTTTATCATTTATCACTTCCTTTGCCGATTTGAGAAGTGAGCATCGATATCCCTTTGTGGTTATTATAATTTGTACCTTTTCAATTCCTAGTAAGGCTGAACACTTTTTCAACATGCTTATTGGTCTGTAGTATTTATTATACTATGAAATACATTTGATTCCTAACCCCCCCTTTTTTTTATATATATTTTTTTATTTATTTCTATGAGAGAGAGAGAGAGAGAGAGAGAGAGACAGCGTGAGCAGGGGAGGGTCAGAGAGAGAGGGAGACACAGACTCTGAAACAGGCTCCAGGCTCTGAGCTGGCAGTCAGCACAGAGCCCGACGCGGGGCTCGAACCCACGAACCGCGAGATCATGACCTAAGCGAAAGTCGGACGCCTAACCGACTAAGCCACCCAGGCGCCCCAGTAACCCTCCTTTTTTGAGGTGTTCCTGACTGATTTGTAAGACCTTTTTTAAAAAAGTTTATTTATTTATGAGAGATAGAGACAGCATGAGTGGGGGGAGGGGCAGAGAGAGAGCTGTCAGCACAGAGCCTGACACGGGGCTCAATCTCACAAACTGTGAGATCACGACCTGAGCTGAAGTCAGACACTTAACTGACTGAGTCACCCAGACGCCCCAAGAACTCTTTATGTATTAAGAATATTAGCTGTTATGAATTTTGCAAGTATCTCACCTGGTTTATAGAGCCATTTAATTATGCTGATGGCATTTAATTATATGAAATTTTACGTTTTTATATGGTTTAGCCTTTACCCTTAAGGTTTATTTTTTACTATTGTATTTAGAAAAGACTTTCCTATCAAAGAGGAGTTAAATCCCCATATATTTTTCTAGAATATATATCTCTTAACTTTAATTCTCTGTCAGGCAACAAAGTAGAAAATTTAAAAGAGATAAACAGGCCATTACAAAACAAACAAATTGTGTTTATCATTTTCCAAAATGTACTTTGTCATTTCAGAAGTACTTATTACAGCCTTTTATATGGAAGCACTTTGGTCAACTTCTTTCTTCCTCCACCCATATCACCTCCATTTCTGTTCTTTTGGTGCAGCTGAAGCCTACAGAGTTCCTTTGCTAATCCTGTCCCGGGAAGGAGATATTTTAGGAGCCCCAGGCCTGCTGTAGATGGAATTTGACTTTACCATGTCACCGTTATCCTAATGGCTCGTGTCGGCAGTCGTTCTGGACACCACACACCCGTCAAATTCCAGGTTTCTCCTAGTCTCTGTTGTGTCAATTTAATCTCTAAGAACAGGTGTTTGCCTCAGTTTCCCCGTCAGCGCTACGTTTTCCTGACGCAACTGAATCCCTGCCCTGAGGCTTCCTACACCTTGTGTAACTTTTCCTCAGGGCCCTGCATTCTTCCTGCTTAGTCCTTGGCAATGAATCCATGACCTGGAGCTGCCGTCACCTCCTGCTGGATCCGGAGCATTATTTTCTCTCCCGATCTCTTCCCTTTTCAGCTGTACTTGTTGGACTAGGTCTCTCTGAATACTGAAGCTTGCTGAAACCAAGCCCAAAGCCTCACTTCCTCCTGAATACGGTGCCCTCGATGTGGTCTGCCGTTCAATGGCACACCTGATATCCAAGTTACTACTCAAACGACAATTTCAAGTCACGCATGATTTGGGTAAAATGTTATGGAAGCAGTATCAAGTAGCCCTTTACTGCCTTTGTGTTTTGGAGGTGGGTGGGCAGGGTGGGGTTAACTGTACTTAATGATCCCAGAATCACCCTTATGGGAAGCAGAAGTCTGTGTCTTTCAAAACAAAGGCAGTATGGTAAGCCCTGCTTGCTGTTCTAAGCACTCCCTTCTTTTCACTCCCTCTCCCATTTTAGCCAGGAATGGTGCATCCTTACTGTCTTCAAGGGGATCTTGAAGGCTAGTGGCCTCTATATGTAATGGGGGGAGCTCTGGAGTTTCATTCTTGCGAAATGGCTTTTCCGTGTTGACCAACTGTGGCTCTCTACTGGTGAAGTTTTCATTTTTTTCAGAGGTCCTTTTTTTTTTGTTTTTTAATGGAATGTTTCACGAATTTGTGTGTCATCGTTATGCAGGGGCCATGCTAATCTCTGTGTCATTCCAACTTTAGTATATGTGCTGCCAGAGTGAGCACCAGAGGGTCTTTCTGAGACTGTTCTTTGATCACCTCCATCTGAAGGGGAAGCAGGAGAGAATGCCTGCCCCCTTTGAACTCTTAGAGACTTTGTGGTATATGTCATCAGTTTACCACTGATCGCAGACTATCTTGTATTATTACCCTTTGGTATCTGTTCTTTCATTCTCCCCTTACCCAGGCAGGGGCATGCCCTGTTCAGCCCAGGGCCTGCCTTAGGAATCTTAGTTGGTTCACAGGCCAGATTGGCTAAGACTTGTCTCTCCAGCCTCCTGTGTCCCTACTAGCTGGTCCATTTCTGCCCCCCCCCCCCCCCCCCCCCGCTGCGCTAGGGAAAGGCATGCTACCCTCTGTAGAGCAGGTCTATGGGCAGTAAGCCGCAGAGCTCTGCAGAACCCAGCTCCTTGCTTCTGGTTGCGAGTNGTAATGATCCCAGAATCACCCTTATGGGAAGCAGAAGTCTGTGTCTTTCAAAACAAAGGCAGTATGGTAAGCCCTGCTTGCTGTTCTAAGCACTCCCTTCTTTTCACTCCCTCTCCCATTTTAGCCAGGAATGGTGCATCCTTACTGTCTTCAAGGGGATCTTGAAGGCTAGTGGCCTCTATATGTAATGGGGGGAGCTCTGGAGTTTCATTCTTGCGAAATGGCTTTTCCGTGTTGACCAACTGTGGCTCTCTACTGGTGAAGTTTTCATTTTTTTCAGAGGTCCTTTTTTTTTTGTTTTTTAATGGAATGTTTCACGAATTTGTGTGTCATCGTTATGCAGGGGCCATGCTAATCTCTGTGTCATTCCAACTTTAGTATATGTGCTGCCAGAGTGAGCACCAGAGGGTCTTTCTGAGACTGTTCTTTGATCACCTCCATCTGAAGGGGAAGCAGGAGAGAATGCCTGCCCCCTTTGAACTCTTAGAGACTTTGTGGTATATGTCATCAGTTTACCACTGATCGCAGACTATCTTGTATTATTACCCTTTGGTATCTGTTCTTTCATTCTCCCCTTACCCAGGCAGGGGCATGCCCTGTTCAGCCCAGGGCCTGCCTTAGGAATCTTAGTTGGTTCACAGGCCAGATTGGCTAAGACTTGTCTCTCCAGCCTCCTGTGTCCCTACTAGCTGGTCCATTTCTGCCCCCCCCCCCCCCCACTTTGGCTGTGCTAGGGAAAGGCATGCTACCCTCTGTAGAGCAGGTCTATGGGCAGTAAGCCGCAGAGCTCTGCAGAACCCAGCTCCTTGCTTCTGGTTGCGAGTAGCCCCCCGGACTGCGGCCCTGGGATGACAGCCGTCCTTAATTTAACATAAATGAGACATACATGAGGACAATCTGCTCTCTCTTCACCCAGCTAGGGTTTAGTGAGTACTGGTAAAGCACAGTTTGCACTGGAGTAATTGGAGAATGGAGTTTGCCCTCCCCAATCTGTGCACAATCTGTTAGCAGCTAAAAACAAATGTTAGCAGTTATAATTACCATCATTTTGTCTCCAAGCTTGGATCACATTCCAGGTGTTCTAGAAGATGGTCCTTTTCCTTTCTTTTCTCTTTTAAGTACCATGCCCTGTTTCAAGTGGCCCCAGAGGGCAATTGTGCTGTAAATCTTCCCCTCCTGTATTGGTTCAGGACTCTTTCGCAGTTTGTGTCTAGCAGTTCCTTTGAACTTTGCTGTCCCAAGTTAGAAAGACCTTGCTGAGGTGTGGCTGCCTCTAAGAACACTGTTGAATCGGTGCCATGGTAACGTTTGCAAAGCAGCTACTGCTAGGATACGGCTCTGACACTTATTACTTTATTTGCATTTCAAACCACCTGTTCCGAAGATGAAAATATACATGAATGCATATTCCAGTCTGGATAAAAGCATACTATCTGACTATTTAAGTGAACGTCTTGGGTTTTTTGTCTCCCCCAACTCCCCCCCCCCCCCCCCCCCCCCCCCCCCCCCCCCGGCTGTAAGAATCAAGCTCTGAAGTCACGCTCCTTGGCGTCTTTATCCTGATCAGAATAAGTGCCAGGCCTCGTGTGTGGATACGATTTGTTGGTTCTGTTGCCTGTGGAGGCCCGAGGGCCTTTTCTTAGGAGGCTTGTCCTTCTGGAGAGGGAGAAACCTATAGAAGGGAGCAGAGACTCGACCTCCCCAAAGGGAGGCACTTTTTACAGTTAGGTCCACAGTGCCTGAAGGGAGAGCTCTTCAGTTTGTCCAAACTGGGTGCTGGTCTCTCCCCTCTTACACGTCTCTGGGAGACCTTTCCTATTGGTATGTTTGTGGCTCCCTCCAGCGTAAGGCAAACTTTGCCTCCGGATCAGTTGTGGCTCTTTATCCATAGTTGATGGAAGAGCCACTCAGCCTTTCCTGCTCGGTTCCCTTGCCTCCCTTCAACTCCACACCATCTCCTAGGACATTGAACTTGTTGATAGTCATGATTCATTGTCTGTGGCCACTCTCAATTATTCCCCCTTTCCTCATCCTCAGGCCATTTGAAGGAGCCAGTGGGGATCACTGTTGTGTATTTCCATCAGCCACCACCAAAAAGTTCTCAAATATATACTATGCTGCAGATAGCACGTCAGGAGTGATAGCACGCAGAAGGCTTCCTGCAGCAGTGTTACTGCTCTTAACTGGTTCCTCCATCAAACTCCCAGTTTCCACAACAGCAAGTGTCCTTTCTCCTCTAAGAGGCTCCTTTTTTTTTTTTTTTAAATGTTTTATTTATTTCTAGGAGAGAGAGAGAGAGAGAGAGAGCGCGTGAGCAGGGGAGGGTCAGAGAGACAGGGAGTCACAGACTGAAACAGGCTCCAGGCTCTGAGCTGGCAGTCAGCACAGAGCCCGACACGGGGCTCGAACCCATGAACCTCGAGATCATGACCTAAGCGAAAGTCAGACGATTAACCGACTAAGCCACCCAGGCGCCCCTCTAGGAGGCTCCTTCTAGTTGAGATGTTTCATGTTGATTTCTGCCTTTTAAGGGTCTCAGGTGTATTCACTAACTCCTCAGCTAGTTGTTTGTCAGTTACATTTTCTTTTTTTTTTTTTTTTTTTTTTTTTTT